TTGAAACCCAATTTGAACGTAACATTAAATGTTTTCAATGTGACCATGCAAAAATGTTTTGAACATGGGATGCTTTTCCGTTTCTCTTGTACACACACTTCCTCACAAAATGGTAAAGCTGAACGTATAATTCGTACACTTAATTATATTAAGCGTACAATTCTCTTTCATGCGTCTCTCCCCCCCTCATATTGGTTTTATGCTCTTGAAACGACCACTTATCTTTTAAATATTTTGTCAACAAAAGCTCTCAAAAACAATACTCCTGCCTTTGCCTTGTTTGGAAAAACTCCTTCGTATGATCACATCTATGTCTTTGGGTGTCTTTGTTTCCCTAATTTGTCTACCACAGCTTCACATAAATTAGCTCCTTGATCGACAACATGTGTGTTCTTGGGTTATCCTATTGACCATAGAGGGTATAGGTGTCTTGATCTCACCACCTATAAAATAATCATCTCGCGTCACGTCATTTTTGATGAAGCAACCTTCCCTTTTCGAAATGTAGCTCAATTTCATAGCCAAGATTACGATTTTTTAGGTGATGATTCTCCCTCACCACACTTATTGCATCCCCTTATTAATAGGCCGAAACAAGCAAGCCCACAATCTTCTCTAGCTCAAAACTGTGGCTCACAAACCACAATAAGCTCACCACCTCACACAGGCCCACACACAGAGCAAACCCACTCACAGGTAGTCTGCGGCCCAAATCTTACCCTCGCCGCGGTCTCCACTACTTGCCCATCTATCTCACGCCTCTCCCTCACCCGCAGCGCACTCCCCTAGCCCATCAGTGCAACGAGCCCTCTTCCCACACCAACCTGGCTCAAGCCCACACACTCATCACACACCGGCTCAAGTCTATACACCTCCTCCCTTGCGAGGAGTGCCACCCATTCAACCAATATATCCATCACCTCAAATGCAAACCCGAGCACGCCATGTTATTTTAAAACCAAATCCAAAGTATGCCCATGCTTTAATTGTTCAACCAAATAGCCAAACTCCACAAAGATCTCCATTGCCAAAATCTCATAAACAAGCCTTGGCCGACCCAAATTTGAATGCGGCGATGCAAGATGAATATAGTGCTTTGATTGAATCGGGGACTTGGGATTTGGTACCTAGGCCTACAGGGGTAAATATTGTTAATTGTATGTGGATATGGAGTGTAATACCCGAATATTTTAAGATTTTATCAAATATATTTTATGGCTAAAATAAGATATTTTAAATTATTTTATAAATTCTTATACTCTATTTTTGTTATCCTTTATAAATTATCTTAAACCCTACATATATATATGGCCATATGTGCCGCCGTGGATGAAGAACTATGACGCAAGACAATTTTTGTACGAGTCTCAATCATCAAATTCAACCTCTCAATTCCTTATATATACAACACCTTTGATTATTCCCTGCTAGCACTTGTTTATCGTTCGGCAAATCATTGTTAAAAAGAGCTCTGACACATTAAACTCCCACCATATAATGATCCTCTTACTTTACAAAAATCAACCTTTTTTTTTATGCAAGTACACTATATGTGTTAATGTGCGATCTCATGTTTTCCGAAGGTAATCACACGAAACTTATTTTGGAGTTGTTTGTATTATATTACGTATTATTATGTGTGAATTGTTTAATTTATTATTTGTAATCTTGTACATATATATGATAAATTAGTATGGTATTATATGATTTGATTGGTTTTGAATAACGTATTATTTTTGTTGTATTGATTGATCATGTTATTATTATATATTTCTAGGGTTTTTAATGTTGCTGCTATAGGGAGTATTGTTTTATTGAAGTTTAGGGTTAGTAATGCAGAGTATTATTCTTGGGTTGAGAATTAATTAAATTTGGGTATTAGAATTATTGTCCTATAAGAGTTGAGATTACTATGATTGAATCAAGTTCGAATGGTTATATTATTTGGGAACATGTGCCATTATTGAGATATTATTGTTTATTAATCCGTGAATGGTAATTTGATCGATGTAGGAGATCAAAAGGTTGAAAATTATTATTTTGTTCTTGGTTTGAGGCTCGACGTTAATTACCTTAGTCCTTGGCATGTTGGTAAGGAGATAATGATCATGAGTTAAGAATGAGGTACAATATTTATTTATATTTTTCTATGGTCCCCTACAGTGGGATTTGACCCATATTGATCATGGTTTAAGGTGTTTTCTGGTTATTGAGAGTATTCAAGTTTTTATACTTGTTGGTTTGTTATTCGAATTACTCATGTCCAAGGCTCGGTATAAAACAAAGAGCGTGGCACACTTATGGGATAGATGAGTTAATTGAGTAAAGGTTCGTATTATTATTCGAGGTTGGGTTTGACAAAGGTTATTTCCAGAGTACAATGTGTAATGTAGTTTTGAACTACATTGTTTAATTGAGCTATTAGTGTTAATTATTCTATTATACTCTGTATTCTGATATGTGATGATTACTCAGCTTTTTGTTGACGTGTGTGTTGTTTTTGTTGTGCTACTTGTGTTTGCGGCCATGTCTTTTTCTTATGGTGGCCTTGCGACGATCTATTTCGGAATTTGTCCTTAATGGTGAGCAGTCTAGTTTGTCTAAACAGGTTGATCAAGTGATCGTAGCTAAAGGAGCTCAATTGTTTCGATTAGTATTTTATAACAAGTTTGTAAAGTTGTATAAATAGCTCACTTAGATTATTGAGTTGTAATTATTGAGATTTTGTAAGCCTTAGCACTTGACAAGTTGTTAAGTGTGGTGGTAATACCTCCGATTTAGGTGTATGCTTCCGCAGTTTTTTTTCAAAGGTTGTTTAATTTTCCTTTATTTATTATTTATTATTTTTTTATTAGCTAGTAAATTGGGGGTGTTTCATGGAGACATAAAGAAAATTCTAAAGATGACCTTGAAAGGCACAAGGCTCGTCTTGTTTATGATGGCCAGTCGTAGGAAAAGGGTGTTGATTGTGATGAGACTTTTAGCCCGGTTGTTTAACCGACTACTATTCATACTGTTCTCAGATTGGCTTTGGCTCGTAAGTGGTCAATTCATCAACTAGATGTGAAAAATGGATTCCTTCATGGTGATTTAAAAGAGATTGTATACATGCATCAACCACCTGGTTTTGTTAATAAACGTGTTCCAGATTATGTTTGTTTGCTCCGAAAGGCATTATATGGTCTAAAACAGGCTCTTCGCGCCTGGTATCAAAGGTTTGCTAATTTCTTGATCAAGATGGGTTTTGTCATTGCAAAGAGTGATACATCGCTTTTTACTTATCGTCATGGTAATGATATGGCATACTTACTTCTCTATGTTGATGATATTATCTTGACTACTTCCTTCGATGGGTTGCGTGAGAAAATGCTTACTCAGTTAAAACTGAGTTTTCTATGTCTGATTTGGGGTCTTTGAGCTATTTTTTGGGCATCTCAGTGACTCGTACACCATCTTACATGCTTCTTTCTCAAAAGAAGTATGCACAAGAAAGTCTTGAACGTGGAGGTATAGCTAGTTGTAACCCTGTTGTTATTCCTGTGGAGGCTAAGTCTAAACTTAGTCTTAATTCGGGTCCTCTAGTGAAGGATCCTACCAAATACCGCAGCCTTGCAGGTGCTCTTTAGTACCTCACTTTCACTCGGCCTGATATTGCGTATGCGGTATAGCAGGTATGTTTGTTTATGCACGATCCTCACGAGCCACATCTTGGTGCATTACATCGTATACTATGTTATGTAAAAGGAACCATTGATCATGGGTTACATGTATATCCTTCTGCTACTACACGGTTAGTTACTTATACAGATGCGGATTGGGCGGGTTGTCCTGACACCCGTCGTTCGACTTCTGGTTATTGTTGCTTTTTAGGTGATAATCTCATTTCTTGGTCATCGAAGCGTCAATAAACATAATCTAAATCTAGCGCAAAAGAAGAATACCGAGGCGTTGCTAATGTTGTCTCTGAGGCTTGTTGGCTTCGAAATTTTTTACTTGAGCTACATTGTCCTCTCCGACAGGCCACTCTTGTTTATTGTGATAATATAAGTGCAGTTTATTTGTCTACGAACCCGGTTCAACACCAACGCACGAAACATGTCGAATTGGATATTCATTTTGTTCGTGAGAAGGTTGCATTGGGTCAAGTTCGAGTACTACATGTTCCGTCCCGACATTAATTTGCTGATATATTCACAAAAGGCCTATCTCGAGACTTATTTTTGAATTTCAGATCCAGTCTTAGCGTACGACCTCCTCCTGCTATGAATGCGGGGGTGTGATAGAGAATATTATTGAGATATTCTCCTCATAGGTTTAGGATATATTTAATGTAAATATTATCATATCTTGACAGGTTTCTTAACACAGTTAGGACTGTCGTACATATTGTAACCCCTATAAATATTGATTAATGGAATACTCTCCGTTTACGGAGTTTCACAATCTAACACAGTATTGAAGTCTCGTCCAGAGGAAGTGATTACCTCTATTAAGAGAGAGGTCTCCCATGATGTGAAGTCTAGTGTAGCAGTGTCCTATGACCTTACTCACTTAAGATCTCCTGTGGCGAGGAGCGATAGTCGGTGCCCATTCTAGAGGTTCTGCCAGTTCCCATTGTATAATCGTCAATTGCTCCAGTGGTGCATCACGGTGCGGGGAACATGACTACCCTTCCAGACTTAGGCAATCATATGGAGGGAAGAGTTCACAAGGATTTGTGGGAAATGTTCATGATTCCAGTTTTCGGTTCTCCAATTTACATTCTACAGCCAAAACTTCGGGTCAACCATCTCACCTTTAACATTTATTTATCATCCTCGGTTAGAAAAACAAGTTCACTAGTTCTAGATCTTCTACAAGTTGCTAGCCAGGTGGTTCTATGGGAGCAAAGTGTAGTCAAGGGCCTAGTGTGGACTTCAAGTACACCAACTTGGCTGGAATAAAGTTTGCTCATTAGTGTCTTTCATAGGTTATTTCATAGTATAGTTTGTAGTATAGGGTTTTTTTTTTTTTTTTTTTTTTTTTTTTTTTTTTTTTTTTTTTTTGAAAACATAGTTTGTAGTATAGTTAGTTGGTACTCTTTGTTATTTTCTTTTTCTTTCTTTATGTACTCTTTGTGAAAAAAAAACACTAAAGACGTACAAAGATCCTCAGTCTCAACCATTAGGCCAAGACCTTATTGGTTACTACAACGTACTTTACCTTTTTTAAAAAGATGAAAATAATGTCACGTGAATATGTTGGGCTTGATCATATATATTCCATTTGTTACCCAAAAAAAAAAAAAAAACCACCTACTTTACTAATTGAAGGCAATTTTAAAGTTTAACTCGAAACCAACCTGAAATCTAGATCTAGGGATATCATAGACCGGAAATCGGACCTAAATCAATCGGTCGTGTTATTTTAGATCTAGACTGGATTGTCCACACCTCTAGTGGTTATTGTCCACCCTAGTTATTGACAATAGAGATACTTGAAAGTTAGAGCCAGCAATACAGAAGCTAAATGAGATTTTTCATTAATCTACTGATATGAGCACTAAAACTGATCCTCATACATTACTTTAGCACATACTCGTATAATCATTTCCTTCTACTTTTCATGATAGCACAAAATTGTGGCGTAAAGTGCCATTACTCACAGCCAAATATTGTATTGCTGTTTGTAATGTACGTGTATGCGACAAACTCCAACAGTTGCACCATTTGTCTGGAACTTTTGCTATTAAGAGACGGGATATGCTCATATGAAAACTAGTGAATCAGTAGTCGTTGCTCATCTATACTTGACTCTGATCCATAACTCGTTTTGGAAATTCTTTGCCATGCTTTATTTGCCTGTAATAGAAGAAATAAAACCAGCAGATAAGAAAATTGAAGGAAAGTGGTGAATCATTATAATATGGCCCAACTTATCCTACCAGATATGATTAGTATATTATGAAAATTAGTCATGAATATACGTTATCTTTTATCAGTTTCATATTTAACGCTTTAGAGTAAACAAATGCAACTGGCAGCAGTTGTCGAAAATGATTTGACATACCGCTTTTTCCCAGTTAGTACAGCATGTTATGATAGTTAAAAGAATTGTTTGTGCAGTAGCACCACAGAGAATCCCAATCCAGAGGCCTCTTCCTCTCATGTGAAACCAGAAGCCTAACATTGCAGCAACTGGAATTCCGAAAAGATAGAAAGCAGCAAGATTCACAAAAGCCCCTATATGTTGCCAGCCACATCCCCGAGCAACACCTGATTATTGCAACAAGCAGAGTTTTAACAACAGCAACAGGAAGTAACAACATTCCTTCCCTCCGTTCAAAATTAGTGGTCACATTATCCCAACCCTTCATAATTAAGAATACAACATGATTCTATACAAAAATCCTCTGAATAATTGTTTTTTTAATATCCTCTACCCATAGCTTACTTGAACCGTAGTAGCATATATGAGATCCAATCATTAACCATTATTATTTTAGAAATTGTGACGATTTTCACCAGGCATCCTGACTATTCAGCAAAGTTCTCAGTACATACCTGAAAGAACACCTTGTAGGCTGTCTATTATAACACTAATACAAATCCAAGGTGCCATTGTGGTGACATAATCTACAACTTCCTTTTCATTGCTGAAAGTGTAGCCAAATACTTTCCGTGTAGCGAAAAGGACTGAGCTAACAAAGACACCATTTGCTACAGCAATCACCAAAACTCCACAGGCAGCTATTCGAGCCCTCTGTGGGTTTCCAGCCCCAAGTTCATTCGAGACTCTGGTGCTGTATATGGGTCGAAAGGGAAATATACAAAAAATCAATCATCAAGTTTAAAATCAAGTCAAAAGTACTAGACCACACAAGGAATATTATTATTCCCAAAGCATACCTTGCAGCAGCTCCTACTCCATAAGGTATTGCATAGAGTGTTGAAATAGTTGTCAAGCTAATGATAAGGTACAAAAATGAAGTTAGTGTCAGTTGATTTTCAAGCAAGTTTGCCTTATTTTGAAGATGAGGATTCCTATTATTGTTCGTAAATGATGCAAAACGATTCAATTATGAAACTTAAAGAATTACCACACGGAAAGAACAGAAGTCTCAAGTTCTGGCTTTGGTAGAAGGCCTGATAGTAAAATCAGCAACTCAAATGACCACCATTCTAAACTGCAGGCATAAAAAAAGTAACGTAAATAACATAATCCTTTGAACTCCTACATACACCATAACATCTTTAGAGCAAAAGGACTTACCAAATCATTATAGCAGAAGGAATAGCTAAACGGAAGAACTCCCCAATTCCATGGAATATTTCCATAGAGAGTGGAGAACGAGTAGCAGCACACGAAGAAGAGAACTTCATGTACAACACCAGAAAAATCACATTCAACCAATTTGATATACCCATAGCAATAGCACCACCAAGGTTTCCCAGTCCAGACTTGAATACAAAAGCCCAACAAAGGGGTATGTGGAGACACGAAGTGGCACAGGAGCTTGCAACCATTGGCATGATCAAACTTTGGGATTGGAAAAACCGGACAAGAGGTTGAAGAACTGCATAAGCAAAGAGGGCAGGCAAAAGGTATGTTGAGAATTTACCAGCTTCACGCGATATTGAAGGGTCTTGACCAACAAAAATGAGGACTTCTCCCATGTAAATCCATAGGGCAGAGAGGGGGATGCACACTAACGTAAGAGAAAAAATGGCGGTGTATGTTTGCGTTCCCAGTTTCTTGTACTGTTGTGCTCCGTAAGCTTGCCCACTAATGGTCTCTAACGCGCTTGCCATCCCTAGCTGTTTACAAGTGCAAATGTTTAACAACTTAACCTCCAAAGTCTGTAACATTAAAATATTTTATATTCACTGAAAGAAATAAGATTCAAAATGCAGTTGATTATTTTTTTCTCATTTTATTGCATGTCTATTAATTACTGACTAGCATAACTAGCACAATGAAGATTCATAGAACTGATATTCCAAGAATAGCAGTTACTTTTCTAAGAGTCCATGTTAGCTGTTTACACTAAATCCTTGAAAATAAAATGAGTTAGATTAACAACTTCCGAGAGGCACTCATTAGAATATCCAAATACTTCAACTTTAATCTATCTTTGGCGGTTACACCATCAAAATTAAAGAAAGCTCTATAACAAAGAGTTAAAATTGGGTAGTAGTGAACCCAAAGGGAAAATTATTTAAATTCTCAGACTTTTAAAATGTTTAAGAAGAGCAATTTTTTACTTGATCATTACAGTTTTTTTTTTTTTAGTTGTGATTTTGCTTAACAAGTATCAATAACCCAGTATACTACTGCAATTGGCGAGTACAAAGTGACTATAAATTCCAGAAACAGAAAGTAATTGATAATTTGATAGTGCCTTTCATAAATATGAGGTGGGGAGTCGATTTCCCTTTTCTTCCAATGTTGGGGTCATGATCTTCATCCTTGAAAAAAAGGAAGGCTAAAAACAGCATAGTGCACTATTAAGATATGTTATTACCAAGCCTAAAGTGAATTTAGTAATCCCTTTGTCCATTTTTATTTGTTCCGTTGGAGTACAAATGTACAATTAATTTAACAAGTTTTACTTCAATGAAGTTGATGACACAGAATATTAGTTGGTCAAATATATCGTTTGTGAGTACTGAGTAAGCAACGATTATCTATGGTCGTTTATGATATGGAGCAAATGCAACGAGATAACCCAAAGAGAAAGTACCAGTAGATCATATTTAAAAGGCCGGAGGGAGTAGTTAGCCAATCATTCATCAGTTTTGTTTGTAAGTTGTAACTATACAGCCTAGTAAGTCCAAAGACAGTGACAAATGTGGCTTTCCAAGTTTAGGAGAAGCAAGCCAGGTAACTACAAATAGAAGTATGACTTGACATAAGACCAAGTTATTGCTACACTTGCTAGTTGCTATATTACCATGTACCACTACCTCATTAACCTTTTTTAAAACACAGATTCAAACTGTATACTGTCTTTTATAGGTTACTAATATATATGGATGAGAATTTATCAAGATGCTCTAAATCGAATTCTCTTATAAACTATCTTTTGTCTGCGACATACCAGTCCAAAGTCAATCAAGTCGGAATTATTTAGTAAATCAAATCAACAGATTTGAGCTTAATGATCCTGTTTAAAAAAAAAAAGAACTTAATGTATGTACTTGGTCCCCAAGAATATACCAATTGCATCTTATGACATAAGTAGTGATGTTAGTTAGTTCCATAAATAACTTAATTCTAACAAGTTGTATACCAGATCATTTGGTATTATTTTAGCCTAAGACCCAAGATTTTTTTTTGATTTCGAAACTTATCTAGTGGGGGTGTCTAAAGATAAGGATCCCTTACCTTTTCCTACTTCTAAGTACATGGCCTACATATATTGGATTAAAATAAAGATACGTATAAGGATTTTGCCGATGATTATTTTCTTTACCTTTAAAAAAATCCTAGACTGTAGTGCTCAATTATTGAAATACTTTTAATTAAGATTAAAGGCGTTTGATTTTAAGACATTTAAGGCCACTTTAATCAAAAACATTTGCTAAGGCCACTTTAATCAAAAACATTTGCTAAGGACACTTTCACTCTTTAGTAAAAGTAAAACCAATAAAATTCCTTATTACACTCAACATTCTCCAGAGCAATCGAAAGTGCATAGTACTCTATATCTCTTACTACCTTATTTTCAAAATAATGAACTTGTTATCTTAGGCAAATACTTAAAGAGACATGTGAGGGTGAGAGAAGTTCATAGGTCATGCTTGGTAAGACAAATATATTTTAATAACAGTGATAACTTTTGATACGTGGTAATTTGGTAGTGTGTCAATTATTTTAAACAAAAGATAAGGGAATATTAGTTTTTACTCGTACCATTTTATTCATCTATTCAAATATAAGATTTTTACACTTTTATTTTATATAAAAGGTCAAATTATTACATTAGACCTTACACCTTCTTACATTCAAATATTAGATAAAATTATACGGAGTACTTCACTATCTTCCATCACATATACTCTATAATTTTTCAATAATTAAATACTTCACTTTCTTCTTTCACGCCTATTTTTTCAATAATGTAACAATTAATAATCAAATTACTTATCAACTAAGATTATTTGCCGAGTGACTAAATTAAAGCGGGGAGTAGTTAGTACGTGACTATTAATTGTTTTAAGACGAAAGTAAAACTTCTTTGATCAACTTATTATTAGTGTGTGAATATAAGCATAAGATGTGTCCATTCAACAAATCAAAGGGTACAAAATTCATCATCTTTGATCAACTTCAAAGTTGCAAAATTCTTATTTAGTCAAGACTTTTAACAATGAGATATTTACCAAATATGTAAATAATTATTCTAGAAAAGGCTGTTGTTTAAATATGCGGCCAATAAAAAACGGTGGTTGCTATCACAGTTGGCTTCTCAAGGCACATGTTCATCCAATGGACACTTTTATAATTTAAAGTTTCCAAGATATTATTGATAGGTGGCAACAATTACTAGACTACAAAATTACTTATTAATCTAAAGTTTCTTTTTTTTTTTTTAAATCTAATTAATAAGCCTTTTCATACATTCATTAATGTTTGATTGTTATTTAATTGTATTTTAGTGTAATTCATGTGATTTGTTTGTGACATCGTTAAAATAAATCAACAGTAGATTTTTTTAGTGAGGACACTCTCTCTCTTATTTGCTAGTGCACTCAATTTTCTTGATTGTTTGTTCAGTTGGAGCATCATAATAAGCAATGCACATAAATAGTGTTGGATGTACAATAAACTCATACAAAAAAAATTACCCTCGAGTTCATATACCATAATGTATAACATAAAATAAATTATTAGTAGACATTCTAAAAAATACGGAGTATAGCAAATGTAGCGCTAAGGACTGTATACAAAGGCCATTTAATAAATTATACCAAAACAAAAGGATAGATACAACGAACCGCCTCAAAACAAGATAACCCATTCAACATGATTTGTATTGACTTACTTACTAAAAATAGAAAGGAAGGAGATAATACCAGAAGGCTGAAGCCGGTGACACCGCAAAGCGAAACGGCGATGGCGGTACTAGCGAGAGAAAGCTCGCCAAGATGACCAACCATTATCATAGAAATGACTTGTAAAAAATATTGAGATAGAACAACCGCAACCATTGGACCTGCTAACCAACTCACTCTCTTAATCTCTTCTCCAATATCTTTCCATCTTAGGAGTATTATTATTCTTTCCTGGGTTTTTTCCTCCTTTGATAATAACCCCTCTTCCATTTCTTCTCTCTCTTCAACTTTGGTGCACAATTTTTTCAGTTGTGTGCCGCCCCCTTTTTCTTTACTCAGATTCATATATATAGGACTATGATTATTATATTATTACTTTTTTTTTTTGTTTCGAGTTATTGTTATTATATTACACATCTCGTCTCATACTTCTTCCGCTTTGTTTTAAATGTTAGGAATTTTAAACTTAATAGTTTCATAATACTCTCTTTGTATTTTTTTATTTTAGGAAAATTTGATATAAATAATTCCAACTGTGCTCCATTTTCTTTTAATAATTAATACCAACTTTAAATTATTCTGGAATAATATCAACTTAAGAGCTTTTAATTTCTTCAATCCCAATTACCGGTGGGCGGTTGATTGGGTTATTTTTATTTTTATTATTTTTTCAAATGACACATATCACAAGTTAATTGGTTAAAAAAAATAAAAAAATAAAAAAACCCACCAAACCAAACCCCAACCACCTTAAAAGATCCGACCACCCGCTCAGCCCTGCCCCCTCCTTCGCCAAACCGTCGGCCCACTCCCACCCCTGGTGTCACCCCTCCGATAGCTTCCCTCTAAACCACCACCCCTCTAACCCCCACACAACCACCAATAAAACTCGTTCCCCACTTCGAAAACCTCCAACAGCCACTCCCCTTACCCCAAAACCCTAGCGGCTAGGGTTTTCGATGGTGGGGAAGGGGTAACTGTGGGTTTTCGAGAGGGGGGGATTTCAAGGGAGTTTCGAATGGAGGGAGGGGTTTAAATGGAGTTTCGGTTGGAAGTTTCGACGGAGGCGGAGTTCCGGAAAAGGGGGGGATTGGGGGTGGGGGTAGGTCGCAACACCGGCACGGGGGGATGGGGGAAATTGGCGCAACATTGAGGCATGGGAAGGGGGGTGGGCGCGACTAGCCGGCGTCAGCCGTCGGGGGTGGTAGGGGTGGGGTTAGGGTAGTCCGGTAGGGATAAAGGGCGGGTTTTCTGTTAATTTTTTTTTAAAAAAAAAAATTGGTTTTTATTTTCTTTTTATTGGACCAATTACAGCTAGACACGTGGCACATAAGATGTTGTAACAGGTCATTGATTTTTGTTGACCGGTTTGGAATTGAAGAAAGTAAACAACCCTCAAAATTGGGATTATTAAAAGTATCAATTTTTCCTTTGTTTTTTTAAAAGTGAAACGATTTGGCTTTTTGCGTTATTCACCTAATCTACTATGACTAAAAAAAAACAAATTTCGTATATTCTTGTGAATACTTGATGAAATTGTCTAAATGAATAAATTACTAATAAGAAAATTTGACTTTTACCACCTCCAAAAAAACCACTTATTGGCTTTTACCACCTACATAAAAAGTAGTTTTATATTACCACCACATAAAAAAACGAAAGTTGGTTTTTACCACCAATTACCTCCAACTTACAGATTCCGTCCATAAATCCATTAGTGGGGCCTACCATGTACACGTGTCACCATGTTATTGGGTAATTTTTTAAAAATAAAATAAAAATAAGGAAAAATTGCTTTAAATAATACGACCTTTCACCCGTCCGCTAAAAACAAGTCCACCTTTTGATTATCCCTGAATAATACCACCTTTAGTGCTACTTTGCTTTAATCAGGTAAAAAAAAATTGTAATCGGTTATAGCAAGTGAACGGGTGATGTGTCTTCCTCTTCCCCCTTTTGCTTCTTTTATTTATCCCTTTAATTTGTTCTTCGCATATTTCGCCATTAACACCTTCTCTCTGTTCCAGTCTTCTTTGTTCTTCGTATTTTTCTCCACTAAAACATCTTTTTTTTTTTAAAAGGTCCACTAAAACCTCTATTAAATGGTTGGCAAGAGGAAATCATCTAGTGGTTCTTCGTCAAGCTTTGCAAGGGAGGAAAACCAGAAAATTCGTTGTAGTTGTGGAAGTTATGCAGTGGTGAGATATGTAAAACAGGGTTCTAACATTGGGATGAAGTTTTACGGCTGTCCCTTTATGGCCGGTTTGTTATCAATTATAAATTGCTATGAATTTTATCAATGTTGATTAATTTGACTTTGATAGGTTTGTAATTGGATATTGTGTTATTGTAGGACACTCAATGTGAGATGTTTAGGTGGGTTAATCAGAGCAACCCCATGGAAGATCTTCAATATCATGTTTTGGAGAAGGAAACAAGAATTTGCGAGTTAGAGTATGAGCAACAGTGCAGGGATGATAAAATCAAGAGATTACAGTTGAAGAAAGATAACCTTGAAGAGGATGTTCAAGAAATGAAGAATGAAGTGTATGCGATGCGGGTAGAGATGATGAAGTGTTCGAGGAATGAGAAGAATTTATCCATGGCTTTGGTTTTTTCTTGGATTTTCTTTGTGTAGTCTTGTGTTATCTCAAATTGTAGGTGGGGTTGTAATTTAAGATTTCCTTCAAGATTTAGTAAGGGGACTTGGTTTGTCATCTTTTGGTATTGTATTTGTAGTTGTTATGCAGTTGCAATGGTGCTTGAATAATGAAATGCAATCAGAACCAATTTGATAACATAAGCCTTGTCTATATAAATGTGAAAGCTGATAATAATACAGTAGTAACTGCATATGGGTTGACATACAGAAGGATTGTTCAAAAGACTTAGCTTACACATGATAAATTGTTCAAAAGACAAAGAAATACACTAAATTATTGTTCAAAATACTTAGTGTTAATCATAGTGTCTCAAAATTACAGAATGTGAACCCAAATTTTTATGGATGTTGTTGATGCATTGTAGAGGTTTGTCTTGACTGTGTGGATATGTGTGGCTCTTGATTCCTTGCTCTGTTCCTTGTGAAGGGGGCTTGAAACAGAAATTTTAAAAATTAAGTTAACATTTATCAAAGAATAGATTAAGCACAAAATAGATGAAAAGCAGCTTACTTGTAGCACTGGGGTACCATCGGCACTGAAGAGCACACCAACCCCTCCTCTGCCTCTCCCCCTTCCTCCTCTGGTTCCTCTAACTGAAGGACCTGCATTTGCACCCCTAGCAGCACCTGACTGAGTGACAGCACCACCTCTAGCACTACCTCTGGCACCCCTACCACTGTAAATTACCCTTTCACCCCTGCCTAAATGAGTTGGTTGTGCTAAAGGTAGTGTTATCTAAATTAAGTACCAGCACAAGCAATTTATTTGCAAGAATGAGAAATTCCAAGTTTATATGAAATTAAGAGCTATCTAAATTAAGCAACCAATTTACATCATAAACATGCTTAATAAGGAGTAAAATTGTAGAAGATTAATGGTATAATCAAACGCATAATCCAACAATTGTATGCCATAATTAATCAAGGTTTAAGGATTTAAAATTTTTTGTTCCAAACGAAAAATCTCTCGAAAATCCACTTTCTAGGTAGATTTTGGCCTTTGGAAGCCATTTTTTAACACTTAGTGAATAAAGGTTGATTTAGAACATCGATTCCACCTAAAATTCATTATTTTTGAGTCGAAATCTGGGTTCATAGTTATAAATTAGCAATAATACAATTTTAATCCAATTAAAACTGAGGTCCTAACCTAATTAGGTTGCTAATCTAGAAATTTAAATCCATTTTAAATCACCTAATTAATTTTTAGTTGTAAAAATTAATTGCAAGAGGCTCTTATACCGTTGTTGAGTTTTGCGGTGTCCGACACCGCACGGAAACAAAACCCGCAAAAGGATCGCATGCATAATAATTACAACATAACAACATAGCATGCAATTAAAGAAAGCATAAACACATAAAGGGAAGATAGAGAAAGAAAGGATAAGAGTAGCTCACCTTTGACGTGTGCTTCGCTCGTATCACGAGTTCAGACTTGAAAAATTTCGAGACTCGCAAGTGCAAGCCCTCCAATGTCTCACACCCTCGTGAACCGAATCGGCCCTTACCCCGTAGCTTAGACGAGGCTAGACCAAAATAAACTAGAGTATTACAAACTTAAAGGCTTTCTCACGCTTTTGGGAGATACCTTATTGAGAACTCAAGTGAGTGATCCCATTACCGACCCAAGGTGGGTATTTATAGCGAAATGCTCCCAAAAGTTTCCATCAACTTTCCATGTGGGAGAGTTGTTGAAATGAGAAAAAGGTTGAATTAATACACTCGTTTAATCGTCCCAAGATCTTAGATGTTATCATAATAAGACGAAACACGGGATTTCTAGACCCATTTCAAGTAACATGAATGAAAGGGTCTAATGCTAAAAAAAATAAACAAGTCATCGAAGCCACCCAATATTGGGGGCTACGACACTCGAAAATATAAAATGGGGGCTTGAAAACCCGAAATATAGCCAAACTATACCAGTTCGATGATGTCTTCAAGAATTTCCTAAACTAACTTGTTTACGCAAATCTTGAAATCTCATGTTTATAAGTGAATAATAATAACTATCGATTATTATTATCATTGATAAAACTAATTTTGCAACTTAAGCATGACAAAAATAAACATGAGTCGCAAGAACAATTTCATGCCATTATCAAGTTCAAAAATTCAATCCTAATTTTAATGCATAATTGTTGTACTAACACTTCAATCTACATTAAAATTAACAAGTATAGTCCATGTGAGAAAAAAAAGAAATAAGTTCAAGCACGAATTCGAACTCAAACAAAGAAAAACTCATATATGCTTGTATACACTCATACGGACTCGATACTTTACCATTTCACATGAAATTTGTTGCTAGATATTCCTTAAACATGTCACAACAACATAGAACAAATTCATGAGAACAAGTCGAATTGAATACTCCCAATTACAAAAATTAAGGTTCTTCTTTCGATTTTCCCCATTTTATTGACCAAATTCAAAGTTTGTCACAATAAACAAGGGGTAAGATTTACTTTCCTTAGCTTCAAACGACAGCAAAATCGGAGCCCTAGAGAAAGAGATAAAAAATGGCAAATGACGAAGAAGAGCACGAGCCGCAAATTGTGTTTCTTCCAGAATTGTTCATTGTTTAAGTTATGCGCGCAACTCAAAAAGTTGCGTGAGACAACTGCGCGCAACTCACAAAGTTGCGTGAGACAACTGCTCGCAACTTCTAGTATTACGCGCAACACTCCAACGCAACCCTCAAAGATTGTGAAGTCTTCCAAACCAAACGTTTTAGCTCGTTGAGTTCGCGCCTTGACATGCTTTCTCACGAAGTTTTTAAAACCTTCAAAAACCTTTTATTGCTTTGCATCCAGTAGTCTCTTTTCTTCTTTGATAATTTTTTGCATCATCCTACATGCGCACCG